CCCAGGCATCGTCTCCATCATGACTCTGGCGGCTCTGGCGTATGAGCGCTACATCCGGGTGGTGCACGCCCAGGTGGTGGACTTCCCCTGGGCGTGGCGGGCCATCGCCCACATCTGGCTGTACTCGCTGGCCTGGACCGGGGCGCCTCTGCTGGGCTGGAACCGCTACACGCTAGAGATCCACCAGCTGGGCTGCTCCCTGGACTGGGCATCCAAAGACCCAAACGACGCCTCCTTCATCCTCTTCTTCCTCTTCGCGTGTTTCTTCGTGCCCGTTGGCATCATGGTCTACTGCTATGGCAACATCCTCTACACAGTGAGAATGGTAAGGCTGCGGATGTATGTTTTTGTTGTTTTACAAAAACCTTTTGCTCTGCTGGAATAAATTCTTCCTGCAGGTGACATTTCAACCATATTAAATTCATCATTTTGAAATGGCAGATCCACCGTTGGCTCTCTAAAGCTGACATTTCAAAGCTTTTCTGCTCTAATCCCAACAAATTGACAATAAAGTCTGGCTCCTCAATATTTTCTAGCACTTAAACCACACAAAAAAATAAAAAGCCTAAAGACAGCAAGCTAACTCACAATTCTGAGTAGCAAAGACCGTTAAATACCTGAAATATTTACATCCCGACTCATTTGATCACTTTAATTAATATAGAAACGGAAATTTTCCAAAAATTCAATCTTCAAAAACCAAAATGTTTGATTAATTGATAAAGTTAATCATCACCCACTGCCAGTTTAAACGTTGTGATAAGGACTTCATCATCATAGCAACACTGGATGCAGTGTTGCATTAAAGCAGGTTTCATTCTGCCACTGTAACAATGTTATCTGATAATAATGCACCGAGTTGGCAGAGCAGACAGCAGGAGAGATCCGAACTGAAATGGTCATTAAGCTCACAGCGAGCAGAAGCAGAAAGAAAAGAATCCCAAACATCCAAACGGCAGGTGTGACGCTTTAAAATAAAACATGAGGGAAATAATGATGAACAGTTGCAGAACAGCAGGAAGGAGCAAGAATGAAGCTTTGACCAAAGTAGTTACATGCAAAGAAAATGAACATATAAAATAAACTCATCATTCATCTTTATATAAGTACACTCATATAGCAAAGTCTGCTCTTTCAAAACCAAACAAGAACTACTAAAAGCAGGGAGAAAATTTACCTTGGTAATAAAGACCCTTCTTTAAAAATAACTTTTTATTATGTAACCTGTGAGAAACATGAAGAACTGAAGTTATAGACTGATAAACATTAACCATGTTGTTGCGCTTTCCATGCTTGTTTTAATCCAAAATAATCCAAGAAAGCTTTGAAATTATTGCAAACATTATTTGACAGAATCTCTGTTTAGCATAGAGTAATTCAGATGTGGTCTGAACAGTCTAAATATGTACGTTTTTATGTATAAATGTGGTTCAAACTACTTTAAAAAATATTGAAACAGTTATTTAATTAATCACTGCAATAATTTATCACAATGTTTCCACTGGGCACACCACAGGGAGGCGCCGGTTATCCAAAATTCACATATTTTTTTACGTTTTTGTACTTCCATTTGGGTCTCAACTGATTCTAAAAACAAAGCAAGCACTTAAAAAATACCCGTGTTTGGAAAATTAGCCGTTTCAAAATCCTCCAGATTGCCAAGTCACAAATCAACAGGCACTGCACTGTTACCTAGCAACCCCGGCAGAGTTCCATCTGTTACCTAGAGACCCAAATGGAACTCCAGCATGTTTGGTCAGCTGGTTTTACCTCTGTTTACTTTGTACAATGGCAGCTGGAAAAAGACAAGTGTTTTGTTATTGACTTAAAATCCAGAAACCACCTGCTGCATTCTTGTTGGTTGTACAGGAGGCTCCACTTCTGATTTTCAAAGATGTACGGTTGTACAGCTTCGTATCTGTTTGCAGCCGTTTTCAGGTGCGAGTGTAAATGTTGAGTTGGGGGCTCGAGGCTGGCAGCAACTTACTAGGATTTAAAGTGACAAGAGACCCTAAAACGACTCATTCTGACAAAAATCTCAGTATCTAGGAATGATTCTGTGGAAAAAATATGTTTTGTTTAGGCCATTGAATTATCCTAACTTGTTCAAGGAAGCGTAATAGATCCCACTTAAAATAAGCAACAGAAAAATCGGATTGGGTTGATATTTTCTGCCTCTTGCTGCCCTTCATGTCGTGCCGCCCAGGGCAGAGAGCCATTTCACCCAAAGACAAAATATACTCATCACAAGACATTTCACTTCCAGGTCAGTTCGACTCACACGTAAAGATAAAAAACATAAATAGCAAACCTTTAGTGCTCATAAGCTGTGGTCAGTTTTTAGACTCCTGAAGCACAAATACCACTTCGCATCACTTCCTATCGCCCTGATTTGTTTAACGACTTTAAATGTCACGTCTTCTAGGTCAGCTCCTCTCATTGTTTGCGCTCGGATAGCATTTCCACTTCGTTGTGTTCATTTCATCACTTCTCCCACAGTGAGCTCAGATTGAAAACGTTACCTGATATACCCTCAGGTTAAGATGTTCCTTTGAAAACATGGACTCAATTATGGATTTTTTTATGCTGACTCTTGTGGAGATTTCTTTCATTACATTAAATCTGCATGTAAAAAAAAAAGAAGACCAGGCTTAATTCAGTTCAAGTGACCCACATGTCTTTGTGAATCACAGTTTCCTCCCTTAAATATTCACCATCTTGCGGGAGGTGTGAGCAGCTCCCTCCTCTGAGACCCCCGAACTCGAGCTGCAGAAAATTCCCAGAACGGCGCCGAAGCCTGAGAGGAGACTCATCGCACTTCACGGCGATCCGGGAAAATCTTCAAAGGAAAAAAAAAAAAAAACACTCTGAACGCTGCAGAGATTTCACTCCAGAGCAGCTGGCCTGCTTTTCCAGACACAGAAAAACCCATCAGGCGTCTGAAGACCTGGAGAGCAGCAGATCGCCAACATGGAAATGGAGAAAAAATAAATAGATGCTATGAATTAAACCACTAAAAACGGTTATTAAATTATTACAGAAGCTCATTTTTTAATTCAAATTAAAATTCAAAGCAAAATTAAACGTTGTGACTCATATCAATTGAAAATTCTTCAAAGATCTCCTGTAGCAGTCTGTACTGCAGTAAATTTGAAGAACCCTCTGTCTGTTTTTCTAAGACAGTCTCTTTAATGTACCTGTTGCAATAAATAAATAATAAATAGTCTCAGAAGTTATTGGAATAAAGAATAATATTGGTTTTAAACCATTTTCAAGTAATATGATGGTCTTGGGATTCTGGTGGTGGCAGAATCATGATGTGGAGGACAAGGAAACTGGTCCTAGTTGATGCAAGGATGGAAGGAAACACATTGGAGGCTAAACCTTCCACCAGGACTGAGGTACAAACGACACAAGCAGATGTTAGAAAAGCCAAGATGTTCAAAAGTTCAAAACTTTGGCCAAAACTGTTGACTCAAAAGAAAGAAAAAAAAAGTAGCCTGATATTTATTCCAGGTCTAATACAAGTACATTTTCCCTAAGAACTCAGACATTTTCTGATTAATATCAGAGATGTTCTAGAATAGCATTTGAATTTTAGAAATGTTTAAGTTTCTTTTAGAAAGTTTAATTAATGCCAAAACTTCAAAATGTTTTTACTTGTATCTTTTGACCACTGGAGCTCAGAAAAGTAATTTTTCTAGAAAATTTCTGAGATTACTGAGAATTTTTTTACTACTTCTTTAATTTTGCATGTTTGCTGAATAAAAGAAATATCTAGTTTTCAGTTTATTTTGGGTTTGACTGAATAAATTTATTCTCAGTAATTAGAACGGGATTTGGGTCACTTTCTCTCCAAACATTTGCTGTATTTATCCAAGTTTAAAAAGGAATAAAAGCTGATTTGGTTGCAGCAAAGTTGGCTTTTCAAAGTCTCTGGATAAATTCAGTTGTAACTTTTGTTAAAGTTTTAACAAAAACAAATACTTTATGTTGTACTTTACATTTTTTTGTGTAAGAAAATTATGTTAACATTTTTTTTAATCGTGATTGCAAGTTAAAAGTCTACATCTACAGGCCAAATTTGTATCACTTTTGAATTATAGTTGGGAGCCGCACAAAATTAGTCTAAGGGGCCACAAATGGCCCCTGGACCACACTTTGGACATCCCTGATCGATGTGATGATTTCCATTGTCAGTCTGCAAACAAAAATAAATTAGATTTCCAAACTGGAATTGAATTCAACACCTCATAATTCAGATTTGCCGCTGAAGATATTAAAGTCTTAATTTTCTGTTTCTTTTCATTTCTGCAGCTGCGTTCACTGCAAGACCTGCAGACGGTCCAGATTATAAAGATCCTGCGCTACGAGAAGAAGGTGGCGGCCATGTTCCTACTGATGATTTCCTGTTTCCTGGTGTGCTGGACGCCGTACGCCGTGGTTTCCATGATGGAGGCGTTCGGCAGGAAGGCCATGGTCTCTCCCACCGTGGCCATCATCCCGTCCTTCTTCGCCAAGTCCAGCACGGCGTACAACCCCGTCATCTACGTGTTCATGAGTAGAAAGGTTTGTAGGCGGTCTTTCTCAAACCGCTGGCGGTCCGCGGGCGCCCCCTAGTGGTCCGCAAGGTACTGCACGTAACCACCGTTTATGTCCTGTGACGTCAGCTCAAAGTGCGACGCATACAGCTAGCTACAGCTAGCTTGAAATAATGATGGATAAATGGCTTACAACTGGGTCACTCAAAAGAAAAACTGAAGATATCGATGGAAAGAAAACAGCTGGATTATTTATTATGTGATCAGAGGAAAATGTGTTGTTCAAGAACGATTCGATTCTTTTGAACGGCTCTATGCCGAGAACTGTAGGACTCAAGTTTCAGTTAATGAGAACTGTTCTTTGTCTTTGTTTGCTTATAAAGCTCTGTCACACGTCAAGAACTATTGTCATTTTTAACTAATTAAAAATTATTAAATTAACTTAGTTAAATACAATAGATACATATAACATAAAAACTGGTGAATGATGTTATATTTAAAAAGAGGATTTTACCATGCTAAGTTATGTCTTATTTTAAGTGTACTAAGATATTTACACAAGAAACTGGATGGGAAAATAATGCAAGTTCGTTTTCTGAAATATAAACGTTGTTAAATATCGATGGCTAAACAAGTGAGAACTGGCGTCATCAGAGTTGAGTAGTAAGTAGTTACATTTTAGGAGTCCTTTTACTACGCTGTACTTTTTACTTTTACTTCAGTCATTTTATTATGAAGCATTACTAATCTAATTGGAGTAAAATTTCTGGATTTTCTACCCACTGCAGTTTTTTGTTAAAGTTTCATAATGTTTTTATTGGAAGAAACTGATTTGGGAAGATTCTTTTGTTACTTGTAAGAATTATTGTCATTTTGGTCCTTAAAATATTAAAATTTCCACTTAACTTTATATTTTAGTCGTCTGATGATGCAATTTTTAAATATGAAGTGATTGATAATTTGATGGGTCACTCGGTACGAGTAGACTTTCTACCAAATACTCAAATACTTTTTTACCCCTACTTGAGGAATTTCTTGCTACTTTTTACTTTTACTTGAGTAAAAATATGTTGAAGTATTGCTACTCTTACTTGAGTGTAATTTTTGGCTCTGATCATTGTCATCATATGTTTTCCTCTTCCTGCAGTTCCGGCGTTACTTCCTGCAGCTGCTCTGCTCCCGGCTCTTCCATAAGATCTCCTGGCTGCAGCAGAACCTCAAAGAGCGGCAGCCGACGCCCGCCGAGCGCCCCATCCGTCCCATCGTCGTCTCCAGCGCCTGCGACTCCAGGGACCGGCCCAAGAAGAGGGTCACCTTCAACTCCTCCTCCATCGTCTTCATCATCACCAGCGACAATTTCCAGCAATTTGACGTCACCTCCAAGGCCAGAGATTCCTCGCAGGTGAACGTCATCCAAGTGAGGCCGCTGTGACCTTTGACCTCTTGGTAATGCCTTATGACCAAACATGCAGTTCCACGCCAAGCTAATCCCGCCTGACCTCCTCGGCTGTTTCTGTGTCTGAACGCAGCCCCAGACTTTTTACAACTGACTGTAAATACCCAACAGGAGGCAACATCCTCATTAGACATCAGCTGTGGTGATATTAGGTAATTGCATAGTTGATTAACTAGTTTTATGTCATGCAGTGTGTGGGAGAGTAGCTGCATTTCTGTTACAAATCAGCTCAAAACTTTGTCAACATTCTACACTAATGCCGGAAAAACACAATTTTGCAATTGTGATGTTTAAGTTAAATGAGAAACGGGATTAAAATCACAGCTGAATAAGTCTGTTCATCAAAAGTCATTAAAAAACATGCTGCCTAGGCCTGTCGCAATAATCAATTAAACACATGATAAATTAAAAATATCAATAATTTCCATTTCCATGATTTATTGTTTTTCTATTTTCTCTCTTTTTAGCAAAAAGTGGATGATAAAAAAATCTTCAGTTTAGTGTTTTGGTCTCAGTTAGCCCTTCTTTTGAGGGATACTTTTGTTTTCATAATTAATATTATTTGTTGTTTCTGTTTTGTTTATTTATTTTAGATATTTAAAATGTCTTCCAGTTCCAGTATTAAATGTTCATTACAATTTAAATCTTAATGATCTTTGATTACCCTTATTGTTACTTGAAAATGGTATCAAAACAACAATATTATCATTTATCGCAATAACTTCTGGGATGATTTATCGTCCAGCAAAATGTGTTATTGTGACAGGCCTAGAAGGACCATCATCCTCCAACCACTTCCTGTTGTCTCCTTAATTTCCTCCAGTAGTAACGTCCGGTTGTTGAGCACATGCAAAACAAGTTTTTCCATTACAGTTTTGTGAAATACACTAATTTCTAAAAAGCCGAAAGAAACCACCTCATCCTAGTGCAAAACTTTTTTTGTGAGATTGATGTGTTTCTAATAAGCAAATTTATTTCAGTGATTCCAATTTGCACAATTATCAACGGAAACGCAGCTACTATGTTCAGTATTTACACTGCAAAAACACAAAATCTTGCCAAGTAATTTTGGTCTAGTTTCCACTGCAAATATTTTTGTACACTTGAAATAAGACAAAACTAAATTACAACTAACTTTTCAGCAAAACGTAGGAGCTTGTTATAAGTAAGTAATTCCTAATATTGACAAAAAAGTACTAGTTCCACTGGCAGATTATTTCACTTATAACAAGACATTTTCCCAAGTACGGGTGGGCATTTATTATATTATTTCATTTATTTATTGTGATAAATTTCTTATCATAATAATTTTGTTCCATAAATAAAAATTTAATTTGAAAATATTATTAAATGGAGTTTAACTGGACTGTGTAAAAGTTTAGTGTATTACAAATGGAAAGTTTTGAATGTTTTCAGGAGCAGTATTTGTGTTTGTGAGGCTTTGACTGCTGGGCCATGCAGTCCCTAAAAAAATAAGTAATAAATGGTTCTTATTGGCACAAATATCCACTGCAAAAGCACAACATTTTACCAAGTGTTTTTGTCTATTTTGTAGTGCAAATATCTAAGCACACTTGAAATATGACTAAACTTAATAACTTTTCAGCAAGATTATTTACTTGCTTAAATCAAATAATTCCTTAATATTGGTGGAAAAAGTACCAGTTCCTTTGGCAGATAAATCATAACACGTGAAAAATGTTTGCCAACAGAACTAACACTTTTTCATCAATATTAATGAATTATTTCCTTAAAATAAGCTCATATGTCTTGCTAAAAAGTTACTTTTGTCTTATTTCAAGTGAACTAAAATATTTCCACTAGAAACTAGACTAAAAATACTCCAGACAATATTCTGTTTTTGCAGTGTTGCGATAAAACTTTAAATCCGTATTGGGTATCTCTAATTATAAGTGAAATAATCCGCCAGTGAAACTACTACTTTTTCATCAATACTAAGGATGGATTAAGTTAAAACAGGCCTCTTTATTTTGCTGAAAAGTTACGAGTAAGTTAGTTTTGTCTTATTTAAAGTGTATTCAGATATTGGTAATACTTGGTAATACGTTGCTTTTGCAGGTTAAGAGGACAGCGAAGTTTGGGTCAGCTTGTGATTTATGATGATACATTTTGGTTGGTACCCAACTGCAAGTGTGTATAGAAGATGAAAAATAAAGCTTTAGTTTCTTAACCATAAATACATATTACTGTATGTGGATTCAGGAAAGAGACTCTATTTTAAGCGAGCAGGCTTTCATCTCATTATCTAGTGGGATGAGAGCAGACACTGTGAAGTGGCATTTGGTGAGAATATGTGTGAGGATTACAGGAGTGTAATTAGGCAAAAGGAGATGAGATCAGGGTGGGACACTGCGCTCATAACCTCCTGGGTGTCAGCTATGAATAGATATAATGAATGGATCTCCATGTCTAATAAAATCCCTTTTCACTGTGGACCTGAATGACAGAGTGGCCTCTTTGTTTTTTAATGTTTCGGGGAAAGGCTCAAGTGTGTGAAGTTAAACGGAGTTTCGAAGAGTTTTGCATGTTTATTTACTCAATATGTTTGAGTTTGAAACCAGGAAATCATACAAAAATTCTCAGAAAATTTTCAGATTTTTGTCAAATTATATGACAGGATAATAGAACAATATTTGAACATTATTATAAATGGGAAGTTTGTCAAAATTTGTTTATTCTCTGAATTTATTTTATTTAGTCAACAAGTTGTCTTCAGACATTTACTGGCCTATGAAGTGAAGCTGCTTTTGGCAGTTGGTGGTTACCATAGCAACCTGTAACCCTTTTTTCTGTTGTCTGTATTTTTAGGATCAGCGTTTTTTTTATAATTTAACACATACTTGATATATTTTTAACTGTTATTAATGTTGTGCATTTTAACTATTTATCCACTGCTAACTGCTGTTAGCAGCGATTATATATTTTATTTAATGTATTGAGGCAGAAGCTGCTGGACTGATGTAAACCACAAACTTGAGAATAAAATCATCTTACAAAAATAAAGTCGTATGACATTAAAATCAAATACGACAAATTTTCAATGACATGAGAATAGTATTACCTTAACAAAGTTGTAATAAGAGAAAAAGATGTGATGAGAAAAAAATCGAGTAAAACTGTAATATTTCAAGAATAAAGTTGTCACAAAATCAAAATGTGGGAAAAAAGTTGGAAGTCATATTACCTAAATAAAGTTGTAATGATAAGAAAAAACATCATATTACAGAATAAAATCATCTTTCTTGAAACGACTTTTTTTTTTACACCTTTGTTCAGGTAATGTAACTTAACCTGATAAAAGGTGTAAAAATAGGAGAAAAAGTTGTGATAATCCAAGAATAAAGACGCAATAATACGAGAATAAAATTCATATTAGAATAATAAACTTGAAATAACACAATAAAGTTGTAATTATGTGAGAAAGATTCACAATAATACTAAAGTAAAGCCATAATAAAACAAGAAGTCATAATATTCTTACCTAAATATGTTGTAATGGGAAAAATTTTTTAATAATATGAGAAAAAGTAACAATGCCACAATAAAGCCATAAAACTGCTAGAATAAGGTAGTATTTCAACATATTAAGGTAGTAATTTTATGAGAATAGCTCAGTGAAAAATAAATAATTGAAATGAGGAATGTTCAGCATCTTTTGAAGTTACACTTTGGTTTCAGTTTTAGAATAAAGGAAATGATCTTTTAACACGTCAGAATCGGATGAACTGGTTAGATCTTGATAACTATTCACGCTGTTCTGTCAATAAAACAACTTTTTTCACATCATTTTTAACTTTGGACTTAATTTAAGCATATTATATGGCTGTTAGATCTACAAATAATAAAAAAAAAACATAAATCCACAAGAATGTGCAGAATTGTGACAAATAAAAATAAGGACTTATTTTAATATTACATAAAGATGAAATCTGTTCATTTGGTTTAATTGAAACATCCTAATCTGAAGTCCGCTGCTGCTCCAGACATTATAAGATTTAATAATTAAATCTGGACGCCGCTCAGTTCGTTCCCACGTTCTGAGGCTCCGTCGCTGCTCCTGTCCGTCAGATCTGAGAGGCGGCGCCGACACTTGGCGGCGTCTTCAGGGCGGCCATCTTGTTCCAGACCTTCTCAGCTGTGATGGCGAGCTTGTTGATGTCTGGAGGATTTTTAATGAGCAGATAGAAGCCGCCGGCAGCAGCTCCCACAGCTCCCAGCAGCAGGCCACGGTTTATCACCTGCAGGGAAACAAACATGTTCATAATAATAAAAACTCCTAATTGGCTGTAATTCCTTAATATACTGTAAGTTTCTGCAAATATATAACGTTTCCAGAGTGAGCTGCGTTTGGTTTTCAACTCGACTGCTTTGTTCAACAAATTCACTGCAAAAACACAAAATCTTACCAAGTATTTTTGTCTAGTGTAAATATTTTAGTACAGTTGAAATGAGACAAAATTAACTTAAAAGTAACTTTTCAGCAAGATGTAGGACTTGTTTTAAGAAAATTATTCTTGAATATTTACAAAAAGAACAAGTTCCACTGGCAGATTATTTTACCCATAACGGACATAACATCTTAATGAAATAAACTATCAATAAAATTAGAACTTTTAAATCAATATTAAGGAATCATTGACTTAAAACAAGATATTGAGATATTTTTGTCTTATTTCATGCATGGAAAGATATTTACACTAAACACAGTGTAAATATCTTTGTTGTCTTTTTGCAGTGTATCAACGTTTGTCTATTAATAGTCCAGTTATTCTCACTGTAGGACATCAGCTATGGAGAGACATTTCATTCAAAATTCAACAAATAAATTTAATAATTAAATAATGTAATTTGAAAAATTTGAATACATATTCTGTTAAATAAATATTCTCATGAAATAAAACATTGTGTACTTAACTCTCCCCAAAGATTTCTTATTTATTTCAAGATATCTTTACTTATTTCAATATTTCTTGATATTTAATTTTGAATTAAATGGTTCTCCATAATTACCATGCTGCCCCATTACTCAGCAAATTTTTTTGTTTGCTTACTAAAACTAAAGAGATTTTAGATGTTAAACATGTAAAATCAGCTTTATTGCTATAAAGGTTAAGCTAATTCACCAATAACAGCATGATGTTGCCACCACTGTGGCATAGATTAATGAGATTAATGAGAAAACTGAGATTAAATTACACACAGTTGAACTCTTTTCAGGCGACTTTTAAAAATTGATGGTTTGTTTTACAGATTTCAGAGTCAATGGTGTGGAATAGATGTACATTTTCATTCATATTCACAAAACTGACTACTTTTTTTATCCGTCACATAAAATCTCAATAACATTTTGTTTTTGCAAAATGGGAAAAAAAATTCAAGCAGTATAAATCGATTTGCAAGGCAAGTATCAGTGATTCATAGATTAACATTACTGAGACCAGGCCTTTAAACATAATGGGCTTTACATTATTTCCATGATGCTCTGTTTGATCTCCATCTTCTTTCATAGTCAGGCGGCTTCATGAGGTCGTTTTGTATTCCCCTTCATCACATCCATTGTAACCTTTGCCAACTCATTCACTTTGGGGTTGAAACGATTTATGAGGTTGGCTGTGAAATCCCTGATGTCTCTCTGACTAACAGCAGAGAAACCATTAGCACGAGTCAGACACTTCCTGGCTCAAATCAGAAACATTTCTGCTCCTCACAGCAACACATTCCAGTTGGAGAATCGCATTTTGAATGCTGCGACTTCACAACAGTGATGGATTAAAGAGGAAAATTAAACAGAAGGAAAAAGAAACTCACTTTGTCCTGCCAATGCCAGCGCTCCACAGCAACATGGTATCTGGTCCTGGTGAAAGTCACCTGAAAAACCAGAAAGAAACCAAAACCTGCAGGTTAAAATGTATAAAAAGTCTTAAAACACATCTACACTGCAAACACACAAAATTTTACCAAGTATTTTTGGTTTGGTTTATAGTGCAAATATTTTAGAACACTTTAAATAAGATAAAACTAACTTATAAATAAATTTTCAGCAAGATATAGGAGCTTGTTTTAAGTGAATAATTCCTTAATGTTGATGAAAAAGTGCTAGTTCCACTGGCGGTTTATTTCACAGTCAACTGTCCCTGCACCGTTACCTAGCAACGCCAGCCAAGCCCAGACCATCACCTAGCAACACACTCCGAGTTCCACCATGTTATTAATGTTAATAAAAAGTACTTTATTGATCCCAAAGGAAGTTAAATGTTGTTGTAACTCATTAATTCAGATTATAAGTACAGCTGGGCATTTACTGTATCGTTTATCATGATTAATTTCTTATAAGAATTTTCATTGATCATTGTCATGATAAATTCCAATTAATGATTTTTAAAAATAAAAAAAAATTGTCCATATTGTCAAAATGGTTATTTTTCCCTATTTTTTCAGTTTGTTGAATGAGAGTATTGATAAATACAAAGAAATTTGAAAATATTATTAAATGTATTTACTGTACTGTGTGGAGTTTAGTGTATTACAAATGGGAGTGTTTTTCAGAGGCAGTACTTGGTAAAATTTTGCAACGTCTGTCCACAAATAATCCATTTATTCTCACTGTTGGATATCAGCTACGGAGAGACATTTCATTCAAAATTAAATAAATAATGTTATTAAAATGTAAAAAAAAAAACATTCCATTAAATAAATAAACTATAACTTTTTCATCAATATTAAGGAATTCTGCCAAACTGGTGGTGTGACCTTTCCAAAGTTTCTCATTTTCTTCTTTCACTCCAACCTAATCTTATTTTTTATATTGAGGCAGTTTTGAGACAGAGTGGAAAAACATGAAACTGCTACTTATGCAGGTTGTTGCTAGGTAACCGAAGAATGAGTGAGTTGCTAGGTAACCG